TCCACACAAGACGAGCAACACTAATCCAGCAGATTTACTCTTGGGACTGTAAGATTTCTCCATTTCAAAAAGAAACTCCCATCAATATTTTTGTTTTCTCTGGTCTAACAGGCATACTATGAAATCCAACAAATTAACATTTCCAAAGACACCGAGTTCCTCTCATGGGAAGCCACTGTCATAAACATAAAGTACCACAGGCTTGTTCAATATGACATAGTGAAACACTATTTCCCATAACAAGTTTAAATCAACATTAGGTGATGTGGGGTGGTATTGCTTAAATCACTGAAATGTTCTATCATTCAGATGATATTTCAAAATACAAATGGAAACCTTGTTGAATTGAGAGAACTTGCATTTATTTTATTTTATGATGGTAAGGATCAAAGAACCCGATGCTAACTGGTCAGATGTGGTGGACCTTTCCTGACTTCTGGCGGTGACTCAGCCCATTTTTTTTAACAAGTTAAAGCTAAGTAAATGATGACTCAACGCCCACAAAGCAGGAAAAGATGCCAGTTTCCCACTAAAAGTCATAAAAGTGTGATAAACCTATTTCCGTTAAGAAAACTGCTGAAGTTTTTACTGGGGGATTTCCTAGGCAAACAGAGGCAAAGATATATAACCCCCAAGCGGAAGGTAAGCACATTTCCTCTTAGTGTTTTTATGCTGGACACTAATGCAACTCCAGTGAATAATTTGGGGCTGTTTCATGTCTCTTCTGATAGGAAGAGAGAACCTACCACACTCAGCTTGCCCGTTCCAGAGGGCAGGCACAGGGATGGAGCACACATCCTGGGGGGAGCATGCAACAGAAGGCAAAAAAAAAACCAATGTGCCAGCCAACCTCCAGGTCATGCATCCTCTCACACAAAATACCATCCTATTCCTCTCCATTCCTCCTTCTGCAGTTATTTACATTATCAATCACTGTGATCATTTAACAATACCTTCTTCCTTCTAAACGGAATCACTCAGCAATGCCGAGGTTGCCCGTCTTCATATTAGTATCCACAGAGGCAGAAGGTCTGCTTCCTGCTGCATAAACACACGGGGTACTTTACCTCTTTTGGTTCTTTTAATAAAGCTTTCTGATCCTATGTCGGCCAAAACCACTTCATTTATTTTATGTAACCTAAAATAGATACTGAAATCATCAGGTGAGTTCCTATTTATGGTTTTCTCTTTTAAAACTGTTGGATAATTACAAGTGATCCATCAACCTCTTTCCCACCCAAAATAAATAAGAGGTGGGGAGTACGAGGGTGGCAGAAAAATTGGGATTGGAAAGTAATCCTAGTTCCCTAACCGATACAAACTCAAAAGAGCTAACAAACACCATATACCTATGTGGTATTCCTGCCTGAAATGTTTACAACGAATCTGTTTAGGAGAAAACCTTAGACAAATCCAAACTATGAAGCACTGAGTAAAACAAATGTCCCAAGTTCTTCAAAAACTGTCGGTGTACTGAAAGGCAATCATCATCATCATCATCGCCATCATCTTAAAAGCTGGGGGAGTTCATTAGATTCAAGCAGACAAAAAAGAAATGAAAATTACATGCACTGATCCCTTCTAATGGAAAGGGGGGAAAAAACACCTCCAGGGTGGCACCTGTGGCTCAAAGGAGTAGGGGCACCAGTCCCATATGCCGGACGTGGCAGGTTCAAACCCAGCCCCAGCCAAAAAAAAAAAACAAAACTGCAAACAAAACAAAACAACACAACAAAACACCTCCAGCTCCAGCTACAGCTATAAAGGGCATTATTCAGAAAACTGGCAAAATGTGAATATTGATTGACTCTTTGATAACAGCTCTATCCCAATGTTAAATTTCCTGAGCATGATTATTATATTGGGCTTATGCAGGAGAACATCCTCCTTAGGAGGGTAAAGCTCAATAATATCTGCAGTTCTTGCTCAAATGGTTCAGAAACAACAGGCAAAGAATCTCCTAAGTATACTGACAACAGGTGACTGCAGGTGCAGGGTGTACGGGTATTCATTGTAGTATTCTTGAAATTTTTTATATGTTACAAACTTGCAAAAGATAGGGGTTTTAAAATTATGAAGTAAAATGTTAAAAAACAAACCTCAAGCAGCAGGAGTAGCTAACAAACTTGCTGACAGCCAAAAAATTAGCAACTGTCAGAGCTGGGAAGCAAACATCAGGTGTTTGGGTTGTAGCGGTTATTTCTGACTCTAATAATGTTTACACTATTTTTCTCCCAGTATTCCTTTAAAGGCTGTGTACAAAAAGAGGCACAATGATTGCTTTTCTCTTATGTTCTTGTTCAGGATTGCTGTGATTACTGCCAAGGGGAGGCAGTGAAGAAAGAGAGGATCCTACTGAGCGTTTCTGAGCTTGTAGGGTGTGATTCTCACCTGGGCAGAGTGACATGAGACTGGGAAAAGCCCGTGGCTAATATCATCTAAAACTCACCTGGAAACTATATAAAATGCTAAAAAACAAACAAACAAACAAACAAACAAACAAAAACCATAATCTCAACTTATGGGAATATATCTGATGACTGCAAGGATAGATTTCTTGTCTCCAGCGCCTGGGAACTTAATGGATGGTTATCATTTCCACTGCTTCCCGGACAGGTCCTGTAGGAGGAGGCTAATGATTTGTTTACACTTTACCGTGGACAGAGAACTATTAAAATAAGTCTGATATCTCCTGATTCATACTTTTAATTGCCAGATATAGCCACGTGGATCTTTTACCATCACCTAAAACTCCAACTCCTAAAGTCAATTTATGATTCCTTTCCCTTCACACACACACCTTTTTACCTCCACATTCCCACACTTTCCTGTATTTTCAATTTTTTGTTAATGACACAATTTCCATAGTGGTGTCTAGGCATAGAATTCAGGAATGCATTTTGGCTCCTTCTTTCACATATATATTAATAAACTGGTGATTCTCCCTCCTAAATGATAGCTCTCAAATAAAAACTCTCCATCCTTACTGGGTTTCCTAACTTCAAGTCATCATCTTGCACACAATGACTCCCACAATAGCCTGCTCCTTGTTTTCTCTTATTCAATTACGTTATCATCTTGTCACCTAAATTCTTTTTCTGTAGTGTCAATATGATTGTGTCTCTATTCTAATAAAGAACCCATAATGATTCTTCATTTCTAGTAAGATTAGAGGCAAATTCCTTAGTAGAAAACATATGGTTCTGCAGAAGCTAGCCTGCTATTATGTGACTATGTCGGCCATCCACCGCCTGGATGCTGCCACCCTAAGTTACTGAGGCCTCCCTTAATGTTTGTCCTCTCCATTCTCATATATGGCGAGTGTTCATCCTGCTGTCTAGGATACTGCTCTCCATTTATCCAGCTAGAAAAGCCTTAGTTTTAGGCTGAGTGTGGTGGCTCACGCCCATAATTCTAGCATTCTAAGAGGCTGACGTGGGTGAATTGCTTAAATTCAGGAGTTCAAGACGAGCCTGAGCAAGAGTGAGACCCCATCTCTACTAATAACAAAAAACTATCTGGGCATGGTGGTAAACCTGCAGTCCCAGCTACTTAAGAAGTTGAGGCAAGAGGATAGCTTGAGTCCCAGAGTTTGAGGTTGCTGTGATCTATGATACCATAGCACTGTAGCCTGGGGCAACACAGTGAGAGAAAGGGAAGGGAAAGGGAAAGAGAAAGGGGAAGAGGAAGGGAAGGGAAGGGAAGGGAAAAGCCTTTGTCTTCTTTCAATGCCTACATCACTGTGCCTGCCTTCCTCTTCTTCCCTGAGGCAGAGTTAGGGACATCCCCTTTATGCTCCTGTGGTATCATGTATCCAAACAGTCTTATACTGTTTATATGTCTATCCTTGCCACTAAAACATGTAAAGGGCAAGAAGGTGTTTTAATAATCTTTCTCTCCCCAGCACCCAAACAATGCCCAATATATAGCAGATACTCAAGAGATGTTCACTAAGCAAAAGACCATTAGTAAATAAGGAGGGAGGCATATCCCACTAACGATTGGTTTATCGGACTTAAAAATACATATTAACAAATTCATAGACTAGGCCAAGAATGATGGAACCACAGATTGCTGGTGAAATCCAAGATTCAGAACTTTAATTCTGCTGCCCATTCAACCCAATACTCTGTTCACCTACTACTCCGTGATTGTACAGGAGTTTTCCCTTGTGGATGTCTGGGAGTAACCCCTGGGCGGGCCAACTTGAGCCAGGAGACCAATGGAGGTGAGTGCTAAGTGCCCTGGCAGGAACTCTACTCCCTGGAGGAGTGCTGGGGAGTTGAGAGAGGCACTGAGTGTCCGACCTCCTTCCAGAACTACCGGAGAAGTTCACTTAGGGCCTGATCCCAAAAGAGAAAGGAGATGGAGTTCAGGAGTTAGGGACTCTTGTTTTGGTTTGTGATACACAAAACCACCCATGATACTAGAGATCAGAAGTATGAGAAAGGCTCCCAAAGCTTCTGGAGCCAAAGAGAAGCCAGAAGTAAAAATATCATGAAGTTCATGGTCATGTCAACATTTCCCCCCAGGAACTCCTGTCTGAGGGTGAGAACATTATAAAGTATTCAGTGAACAGTCCCTTTCTGGTCCCTCATACAAAAGCCTATGCCCTTTGATCCTCTGCAAACTAACGTGACTCACCCTTGTGAGGAGGGCACCGGCTTCTATCTGGAAAGCGTTTCTGCCTGCACGTGTGCGTTACTGAGACTAACTGAGGAAAGGTGGGAAAGAGAGAGGAGTCCTGGTGCCGTTTGCTCCCACCCGACACTTCAGCTGGCTATTGCCAATAGCATTGCATTTGTTTTCCGGGGAAAAAATAAAACAGATAATGAGATATTTGGTCCGCGTGCTTCGCTCACGTACTTTTAAAATGTCACCTTTGGGTAACTCAACCCACCAACGGATTATTAATAAAATTCAGCAACTGTCAAAGCCCTGCTCCGTGGAGGGAGGCTTGGCGGCGACGCCTATTAGGAGGGAGAGACAGATGGCCTTACCTCTCGGCGCCGGCGTCCACAGCTGTGAGTGGAGGTACCTGGGAGGAGGGGTGGTGGGGGCTCCCCTGTACATTATGTCCCGGAGAAGGGTGACTGACAGGATGTGGGGGTGGCACGGCCCCAGCAGCTGTTCCGCTTCGGCTTGAGTGATTGCTGGAGAAAATGGGAGCTGAAATTAAGGAGAACAAGCATGAGACTGCGCCCCGTGAAGCCCGTAGTTTTTAAATCCCGAGGCTGACAGCAAGCATATTTTCGGGGCTTGTTTGTTTTTCTCTGGGTGGTTTTCAGGGAACAGTTCTCCCCTTCTAGGGTATACACAGCTTTTGTTTTCATGGTGGAACATGTTCCTCAGGAGCTCACGTGCAGCTCGCTCCAGGCTGATGGTCCTGGTCTGTCTCCCAAGTGCCACTTGGCCTGGCCAGTTCCCTGCGTGGACACTGTCTAATTAGTCAATCCTGTACTGTTGCATCTGTGCGGAGGGCTCTGTGTTACAGCCTTTCAGTCCCTGGGGGCGCGAGTCATCAGGTAACAGAATGTGTGGCCAGCTGACCGAGGAGGGCGTGACACAGGCCTTCTTCCTCCTCTCACTGTCGCAGCAAGCCACTGTGGGTCAGGCTGGGGTCCGTCTCTGTCACTGCTAAATCAGGGTACCCAGTGCAGATCAGGCTGGGGTCCGTCTCTTTTCACTGCTAAATCAGGGTACCCCAGGACAGAGCTTCTTCTACATCCCAGCATGAATGTAGGAGCCTACACACTTTTAAGAGTCTAACTGACCCCTGGCATTTCCCGGATGGTGAGATCAATATATTTGGTCTTCACCACTAAGGGGTTCTCTCAGAATATGAAAAGGGGGACTTCACATTCAGCTCCCAGATCTTCCTCCACGGTTACTTATCACGACAGGGGGGAGTCAGAGTTCGGTTTGCAGAGGCAGCCTCGCCTTTGAGAACTGTATCTGACCCCAAATGTGAATATGTGCCCATTTAGATCAGCTAATTGGTGCAATGTCACAGAAGAAACCAGGGCTTGTCACTTTCAAAATCTTATCAGAGAGGCTCTCTCAGTATCTGGGCCCCACTCGGTAGACATCTCATTATGCTGCAGTCACGCCGGCATCATTATGCTCTGTACAAACCTGGGGGAGCTTTCTACCCATTTCAGCTCTTTTTGAACTTACTCTACCCATATCAAAGAAGAAAGGGATTAAAAAAAAAATAAAAGAAATTAGGTTCAGGATTAAGAAACAGAAGCCATGTTATCAAAAAGATTTGAGGGTTTAAAAGTTCAGGGAGTTTATTTTTAGACCAATACCACTTTTCCCAACCTCTCCAGGGTAGAATACACACCCCAGATGACCCAGCCCCCAAAAGCTTAATCCAATGGGACAAGAGTTCAAGTATTTAAGGGAACATCTGAAGAGGCAGAATTACCATCTTCCCGCTCAAAAAGCTCCTGACAGGGGTGTGATCTGATTTGAAGGGTTTATTTCTGGGAAATCAGCATTCTGTCAGCTTGACTCTCGTCCTCAGAAGCCTGTATCCACCACAGCCCTCCAAGGCCTAAGGAGGTAGTGAGGTCTGAAGTGCTCAGCAGTTCAGAAAGGCAACGCGGAGTTGCCGTTGTGTGCGTCAGCCTCCGTAAAAGTTGCACGTTTGCAAACTCACTAGAGTCACCTTATGAATCACCACCCTCATTTATGCTCAGCTTGCTCAGGGAGCCACAATTCTGCTTGTATTCCAAATAATAATTTTACCCAGAGGAGAAGGCTGTTTGGATTGACTGTGGCAATGGTTTCAATACTGGTGTTTGTCAGCATGGAGCTTGGTGTTTTATACACTATTCCAAAATCTAATGAAATAATGAGAGGTCACAGAGACACTGTGAAAACACAGCTATAGAAATGTGAGCTCTCCTATTTATTTTGTGGTTGCCGAATGCATCTATCAGTTCGTTCCCCCTGGAAGTGTTTCTACATGTGTTTGTGTGTGCTTATCATAAGAGAAGCATTGCCCCTGGTATAGACAACCCAGTGCATAACAGGAAAACCTGGTGTGTACACTGTGCTCTCCTGATAATTCAACAGAAAGAATGGTGCTATTCAGAGGTGTATATTAGCTACATAGCCACAATAGGCATTGGCTGTAATGAAAGAGGCTGAGAAATGTATATTGTTTGCAGTCTGTCACTCACTGGAAGTTAAGCCTGGTTTAGAGGTGCTCCCTCATGCCACTTAACAGCCAGGAACAATCATCCATCATCCATCCATCCATAATCTACCCACTTGTTCACCTTGTATATCTGTCCATCCATCCAGCATATAACCTTTATTTTTTAATTCAATATTTATTAAATGCCTATTATGTGCTAGTCACTCTACCACATGAGTCCCTGCCCTTGCAATTTAATGAGGGAAACAAACTTCTATGCATCAATTGTACCAAAACACCAAGACGCCCTAGAGTAGAGCACTGAAGAGTGTTCAAGGCTCTTCTTTGTGGCTCCACAATGTGCCCTAAGTTCTGGCCAAACCAGACAACTGGTAACATCTCAAATATATTATGGTAATTTTTACTACCGTGCTGTAATGTCCTCTATCTTTCTCTACTTATTCTATTACTTTTACTTTGTGTGCAGAGTTGTGTCTTTTCATTCTTTTCTTAGCAGCCAATTATTGCACCCATATTTAAGGAGTGACTACATGAGGCGGACTCAGAGCTAGGTCCTGGAATAAACTAGGGAACAAGATGTCCTTGGTACCTTATATCTCCGACAGCATCAACTCATTTTTCTTGAGTGAACAAAGACGAACACAATCTAAATGCTAGTGGGATCCATCTCCGTGCTCAGTAAGTACAACAGAGACAGAAAGGAACATCATACACCAACTCCCATTCTCCCTTGGTCAAGGGTTGCTACGAGTAATTCACTCACATTTCCAAGTAGGCACACGTATCAGGGTGTCTAAATGTTCTCATAGATGTTGAACAGCTGGGCAATGGAGAGGCCTCAGGCCAAAAGTCAGAGGTGCATGGTGCAGATGAGGGAGGTGCTGCCACACTGGGCCTAGTGCAGTTGGTTACCATAGCAATAGCAGTAGAAACAAGTGGTGGGGAGGACAGAAGGTGAGTCCCATGGAGTGTCTAGTATGAGGCTGAAAGCGCAGGGATGGTCCCTCCAGCTGTGCTGACTGATTGATAGCCAAACACATGTCCACATCCCTTCCCACTTCTGCTATGGCTGGAGATAGGCACAGAAACAGTCCATGGTCCTTTGATGGTTCCCCAGGACAAGAAGAGAGGGAGGACTTTAGGATTCAGTTTAAAGTATGGATTTGGAAAGTATACTGAACAGTTTCTTATGCTGGTGTAGGAAATCAGATCTTTGCAAAATGAGTCCCATGTTTGCCTCTGTTTTCTTTTTCTTTTTTTTTGAGACGGAGTCTTACTATGTCACCCTCAATAGAGTGCCGTAGTGTCACAGCTCACAGCAACCTCAAACTCTTGGGCTTAAGCGATTCTCTTGCCTCAGCCTTTCAAGTAGCTAGGACTATAGGCACCTGCCCTGACTCCTGGCTAATTTTGTTGCAGTTGTCATTGTTGTTTAGCTGGCCCAGGCCAGGTTGAATCCTGCCACCCTCAGTGTATGTGGCTGGCGCTGTAACCACTGTGATACGGGCGCTGAGCCTTGCCTCTGTTTTCTAACAAATAGGATGAGGAGTATAAGAAAATCTTACTTCTGGTAAGACTACAACCTAGTAGAAGCTTAAAAGTCAGTATCTACACAGAGTACTTTGCATGCAGAGTCCAGGCCATGACTGCTCTTTATAGATGTTGCCTATGACCAAGATAACGACCAGAAATTTGGAGGAAATAACAACAGACACAAGTATAGCTTTCTAACATTTATCCAATCCCCATCTTCCATACCCTCCACCTCTCTGGCATCAGGCAGCTGTGGCTGTCATAGGTTTGTCCTTAGCCTCTAGCAGAGACCCACATTTCTCAGAAATTGCCACTGTGGTACAGGCAATGCCTCACTCATTACATTGACTTCTAGGAATTTCTGACCATAGCACAATCATACGTCCAGGATTTAATGTTAATTCTTATAGTTTAGGAATATTATTTTCTCCATTAATTCTTTCACAGTTTGCCAGCAGGCAGGTGCTCAGCTCTGTGAATGTTAAGTCTGAATGCCTGCTGACTTCACACAGACCTGCTCGCCACCACATGTGCTTCCAGACAAAAATGCTCAGGTTTTGCTGAGTGTTTTTTTTTTTTTTTTGCAGTTTTTGACCAGGGCTGGGTTTGAACCCGCCACCTCCAGCATATGGGGCCGGCACTCTACTCCTTTGAGCCACAGGCACCGCCCATTTGCTGAGTGATTTTTAACCTCAGGAAGCAAACTTCCATGTTAAAGTACAATTGCAATGTCATTTGCAAAAGGAAGAATTTCCTTCCATACATACTCAAAATGATTTTCCAAACTCAACCAACTGGGCATACAATGCGGCCTATCAATCAAAGCCTAGCAATCCCTCTAGAATACAGGGCAATATTAACAAAACTGTGAGATCAAATCAACCTGCACACACGGGCTGCCCACGGGGGTGGCCTTCATTGTCTGTGTCAACTCAGGGGTCACTACTGCTTTCAAGGCTGGAAGAAGGCTTTTAAGTGAACTTCTAGACTGGGCTGATGACTGGCAGCTGGAACAACTGATTAGGCACGGCAGAGGAACATATTGGAAATTCTTATTGCTTTTGTGATTAAGAGATGGTGGACTCCCCAAGGAAATAAAAGCCTGGCCTTGAGATGAATACGTGGCCCTGCCTTCAGCAGAGGACCAGCAGCCTCCCTGCGGCTCTGGGCTTTCTCTCTCTGTGGGGCCTGGCTTACTGTAGCCCCACACCCATCTTCAGTGGAGGGAGGTGGAGGTGACTCCATTGGGCATTATAATTTTGATAAACCAGCATCTATCTTTGTGGCTCTTAGCTGTCATCTCACTGACTATTGGACTAGGCCATTTGAGGCTGGCACCTTTAACTAGGTCAGGTTAATTTGGATTAATAGTAGCTCTCTCTTTGTCCAAATTAAAACTATTAATCTGTATTTCTAATGGGCAAGGGCAGGGCATTCTTGGGGTTACTTCAGCTGTGATGAGTCACAG